GAGTGAGGTGGTGTGAAATAGGGAATGTATGGTGTGGGATAGGGAATACCGCGGTGCAGAATAAGGTATGAACAGTATGGGATAGGGAGTGAGGCGGTGTAGAATAGTGAATGTATGGTATGGGATAGGGAGTGAGGCGGTGTAGAATAGTGAATGTATGGTATGGGATAGGGAGTGAGGCGGTACAGAATAGGGAATGTATAGTATGGGACAAGGGTGTAGAATAGGGAACATGTGCCATTGGAATAAGGAATGAGGTGGTGCAGAATAGGGAATGTATAATATGGGATAGGGAATTAGGCGGTGTAGAATAGGGAATGTATGGTATGGGATAGGGAGTGAGGCTGGGTAGAATAGGGAATGCATGGTATGGGATAGGGAGTGAGGCTGGGTAGAATAGGGAATGCATGGTAAGGGATAGGGAGTGAGGCTGGGTAGAATATGGAATGCATGATATGGGATAGGGAGAGAGGTGGTGTAGAATAGGGAATGTATGGTATGGGATAGGGAATGAGGCAGTGTAGAATAGGGAATGTATGGTATGGGATAGGGAGTGAGGTGGTGTAGAATAGGGAATGTATGGTATGGGATAGGGAGTGAGGCGGTGTAGAATAGGAAATGTATAGTATGGGATAGGGAGTGAGGCGATGTATAATAGGGAATGTATGGCATGGGATAGGGAATAAGGCGGTGAAGAATAGGGAACTTATGACATGGGTTAGGGTGTGAGGTGGTGTAGAATAGGGAATGTATGATATGGAATAAGGAGTGAGGCAGTGTAGAATTTGGAATGTATGGCATGTGATAGGGAATGAGGCGGTGTAAAAAAGGGAATTTATGGCATGGGATAGGGAACGAGGCGGGGAAGAATAGAGAATGTATGGTATGGGATAGGGAGTGAGGTGTTGTAGAATAGGGAATGTATAGTATGGGATAGGGAGGGAGGCGGTGTAGAATAGGGAATGTATGGTATGGGATAGGGAGTGAGGCTGTGCAAAATAGGGAATGTATGGTATAGGGAGTGAGGAAGTGTAGAGTAGGGAATGTATGGTATGTGATAGGGAGTGAGGCGGGCTAGAATAGGGAATGTATGGCATGGGATAGGGAGTGAGGCGGTGTAGAATAGGGAATGCATGGTATGGGATAGGGAGTGAGGCTGGGTAGAATAGGGAATGCATGGTATGGGATAGGGAGTGAGGCTGGGTAGAATAGGGAATGCATGGTATGGGATAAGGAGTGAGGCTGGGTAGAATAGGGAATGCATGGTATGGGATAGGGAGTGAGGCTGGGTAGAATAGGGAATGTATGGCATGGGATAGGGAGTGAGGCTGGGTAGAATAGGGAATGCATGGTATGGGATAGGGAGTGAGGCTGGGTAGAATAGGGAATGCATGGTATGGGATAGGGAGTGAGGCTGGGTAGAATAGGGAATGCATGGTATGGGATAGGGAGTGAGGTGGTGTAGAATAGGGAATGTATGATATGGGATAGTGAATGTGAAAGTGCAGAATAGGGAATGTATGGCATGGGATAGGGAGGCTGGGTAGAATAGGGAATGTATGGTATGGGATAGGGAGTGAGGTGGTGTAGAATAGGGAATGTATGATATGGGATAGTGAATGTGAAAGTGCAGAATAGGGAATGTATGGCATGGGATAGGGAGTGAGGCTGGGTAGAATAGGGAATGTATGGTATGGGATAGGGAGTGAGGTGGTGTAGAATAGGGAATGTATGGCAAGGGATAGGGAGTGAGGCTGGGTAGAATAGGGAATGTATAGTATGGGATAGGGAGTGAGGTGGTGTAGAATAGGGAATAAACAGTACAGGATAGGGAGTGAGGCGGTGCAGAATAGGGAATGTATGGTATGGGATAGGGAGTGAGGCGATGCAGAATAGGGAATGTATAGTATGGGATAGGGAGTGAGGCTGGGTAGAATAGGGAATGCATGGTATGGGATAGGGAGTGAGGCGGGCTAGAATAGGGAATGTATGGCATGGGATAGGGAGTGAGGCGGTGTAGAATAGGGAATGCATGGTATGGGATAGGGAGTGAGGCTGGGTAGAATAGGGAATGCATGGTATGGGATAGGGAGTGAGGCTGGGTAGAATAGGGAATGCATGGTATGGGATAAGGAGTGAGGCTGGGTAGAATAGGGAATGCATGGTATGGGATAGGGAGTGAGGCTGGGTAGAATAGGGAATGTATGGCATGGGATAGGGAGTGAGGCTGGGTAGAATAGGGAATGCATGGTATGGGATAGGGAGTGAGGCTGGGTAGAATAGGGAATGCATGGTATGGGATAGGGAGTGAGGCTGGGTAGAATAGGGAATGCATGGTATGGGATAGGGAGTGAGGTGGTGTAGAATAGGGAATGTATGATATGGGATAGTGAATGTGAAAGTGCAGAATAGGGAATGTATGGCATGGGATAGGGAGGCTGGGTAGAATAGGGAATGTATGGTATGGGATAGGGAGTGAGGTGGTGTAGAATAGGGAATGTATGATATGGGATAGTGAATGTGAAAGTGCAGAATAGGGAATGTATGGCATGGGATAGGGAGTGAGGCTGGGTAGAATAGGGAATGTATGGTATGGGATAGGGAGTGAGGTGGTGTAGAATAGGGAATGTATGGCAAGGGATAGGGAGTGAGGCTGGGTAGAATAGGGAATGTATAGTATGGGATAGGGAGTGAGGTGGTGTAGAATAGGGAATAAACAGTACAGGATAGGGAGTGAGGCGGTGCAGAATAGGGAATGTATGGTATGGGATAGGGAGTGAGGCGATGCAGAATAGGGAATGTATAGTATGGGATAGGGAGTGAGGCTGGGTAGAATAGGGAATGCATGGTATGGGATAGGGAGTGAGGCTGGGTAGAATAGGGAATGCATGGTATGGGATAGGGAGTGAGGTGGTGTAGAATAGGGAATGTATGGCATGGGATAGGGAGTGAGGCTGGGTAGAATAGGGAATGCATGATATGGGATAAGGAGTGAGGTGGTGTAGAATAGGGAATGCATGGTATGGGATAGGGAGTGAGGTGGTGTAGAATAGGGAATGCATGGTATGGGATAGGGAGTGAGGTGGTGTAGAATAGGGAATGCATGGTATGGGATAGGGAGTGAGGTGGTGTAGAATAGGGAATAAAACAGTATAGGATAGGGAGTGAGGCGGGGCAGAATAGGGAATGTATGGTATGGGATAGGGAATGAGGCGGTGTAGAATAGGGATTGTATGGTATGGGATAGGGAGTGAGGTGGTGTAGAATAGGGATTGTATAGTATGGGATAGGGAGTGAGGCAGTGTAGAATAGGGAATGTATGGCATGGGATAGGGAATGAGTCAGTGTAGAATGGGGAATAAACAGTTTGGGATAGGGAGTGAGGCGGTGTAGAATAGGGACTGTATGGTATGGGATGGGGAGTGAGGCGGTGTAGAATATGGAATGAACAGAATGGGATAGGGAGTGAGGTGGTGTAGAATACGGAATGTATGGCATGGGATAGGGAGTGAGGTGGTGTAGAATAGGGACCATACTGCATGGCATAGGGAGTGAGGCGGTGTAGAATAGGGACCATGCGCCATGGCAGAGGGACTGAGGGGTGTAGAATAGAGACCATATGGCATGGCATAAGGAGTGAGGTGGTGTAGAATAGGGAATGTATAGTATGGGATAGGGAGTGAGGTGGTGTAGAATAGGGAATGTATAGTATGGGATAGGGGTAGGTGAGAATAGGATGTATGGCATGGGATAGGGAGTGAGGCAGTGTAGAATAGGGACCATGTGCCATGGCATAGGTACTAAGGGGTGTAGAATAGGGACCATACGGCATGGCCTTACGGAGTGAGGCGGTGTAGAATAGGGACCATACAGCATGGCATAGGGAGTGAGGCGGTGTAGAACAGGTATCATACGGCATGGCCTAGGGAGTGGGGCGGTGTAGAATAGGGACCATACTGCATGGCCTAGGGAGTGGGGCGGTGTAGAATAGGGACCATACAGCATGGCATAGGGAGAGAGGCAGTGTAGAATAGGGACCATACGGCATGGCATAGGGAGTGAGGAGGTGTAGAACAGGGACCATACGGCATGGCCTAGGGAGTGGGGCGGTGTAGAATAAGGACCATACAGCATGGCCTAGGGAGTGGGGTGGTGTAGAATAGGGACCATACAGCATGGCATAGGGAGAGAGGAAGTGTAGAATAGGGACCATACAGCATGGCATAGGGAGTGAGGCAGTGTAGAATAAGGAATGGCATGGCATAAGAAGTGAGGCGGCGCAGAACAGGGACCATATGGCAGGCATAGGGAGTGGAGCGGTGTAGAACAGGGACCATACGGCATGGCCTAGGGAGTGAGGAGGTGTAGAACAGGGACCATACAGCATGGCATAGAGAGTGGGGCGGTGTAGAACAGGGACCATACGGCATGGCCTAGGGAGTGGGGTGGTGTAGAACAGGGACCATACGGCATGGCATAGGGAGTGGGGCGGTGTAGAACAGGGACCATACAGCATGGCATAGGGAGTGGGGCGGTGTAGAACAGGGACCATACGGCATGGCATAGGGAGTGAGGAGGTGTAGAATAGGGACCATACAGCATGGCGTAGGGAGTGAGGTGTAGAACAGGGCAGGGACCATACAGCATGGCATAGGGAGTGAAGCGGTGTAGAATAGGGACCATACGGCACGCCATAGGGAGAGAGGTGGTGTAGAATAGGGACCATACTGCATGAGTGAGTTATAATCAGAGGAATGTAAATATTTGGGGAATCAGGGACATTGGTGGGTTTAATTTCACTTTAACTGAAGGCAGACCCATCTTCTGAGTGCTCCGCCCCTCACCCCACCCATTTGGTATCAGGACATGCTGTGACTTGTAGTTCCTCTGTGTTTCTGATACACAGCCCCCCTCCTCATGTCCCCGCACACCCCCAGTGACAGATGTGACCTCCCAGCGTGCACTGCGCCCCCTACAGCTTCAGGACGCCGGTTGTGTCAATGGGCTGTCACGTGACGCGGAAGTCTCTCCTGTCATCAGGGAAGATGGCGGCGCCGTGTGTCGGATGCCGGCTGGTGATCTGTGTTGTGGTTCTGTCATTGGGTGCCACAGCTCAGTATACAGAGGTAGGTGGTGGCGGTTTTCTGTACACTGGGGCGTCTGTACTAAGGAGGAGGACTGAGAGGAGGTCTGTACTGAGGGAAATTTCTGTGAGAGGGTCCTACTCTACTGGGAGAGGTCAGTAATGAGGGGTAGGGGAGGAGGACTTGCCTTTTTTTGGAGAGATAGACTGGGGGGAAGGATAGGAGGGGGTTTGTACTGGGGAGGGGTCTGTACTGGATTGATAGGAAGGGGGGGGGGGGGTCTGTCCTGAGGGGGTAGGTCTGTACTGGGAAAATAGGATGGGGGGGGGCTGTAGTGGGGGATAGGAGAGGGTCTGTCCTGGGGGGGTCTTTACTGAGGGAATAGGATAGGGGGGTCTGTACTGGGGGATAGGATAGGAGAGGGTCTTTCCTGGGGGAGGGGTCTGTATTGGGAGAATAGGATGGGGGAGGGTCTGTACTGGGGTAGGGCTCTGTACTGGGGGGATAGGATATAAGGGGGTCTCTCATGGGGGAGGGGTCTGTATCAGGGGGAGGGATAGCATAGGGGAGGGGTTTGTCCTGGGTGGGGGAATCTGTACTGGGTTATAGGATAGGAGGGGGTCTGTACTGGGTAAGGTGTCTGCACTGGGGGGATACCATAGGAGGGGGTCTGTACTGGGGGAGGGATCTGTACTGAGGAGATAGGAGGGGGTCTGTACTGGGGGAGGGATCTGTACTGGGGAGATGGGAGGGGGTCTGTACTGGGGAGATGGGAGGGGGTCTGTACTGGGGAGATGGGAGGGGGTCTGTACTGGGGGAGGGGGTCTGTACTGGGGAGATGGGAGGGGGTCTGTACTGGGGAGGGGAGGGGGTCTGTACTGGGGGAGGGGGTCTGTACTGGGGAGATAGGAGGGGGTCTGTACTGGGGGAGGGGGTCTGTACTGGGGAGATAGGAGGGGGTCTGTACTGGGGGAGGGGGTCTGTACTGGGGAGATAGGGGGGGTCTGTACTGTGGGAGATAGGGGGGGTCTGTACTGGGGAGATGGGAGGGGGTCTGTACTGGGGGAGGGGTCTGTATGGGGGAGGGGGTCTGTACTGGGGAGATAGGAGGGGGTCTGTACTGGGGGAGGGGGTCTGTACTGGGGGGATAGGAGGGGGTCTGTACTTGGAGGGGTCTGTACTGGGGGGATAGGAGGGGGTCTGTACTTGGGGAGGGGTCTGTACTGGGGGGATAGGAGGGGGTCTGTACTTGGGGAGGGGTCTGTACTGGGGGGATAGGAGGGGGTCTGTACTTGGGGAGGGATCTGTACTGGGGGGATAGGAGGGGGTCTGTACTTGGGGAGGGATCTGTACTGGGGGGATAGGAGGGGGTCTGTACTTGGGGAGGGATCTGTACTGGGGGGATAGGATAGGAGGGGGCCTGTACTTGGGGAGGGGTCTGTATTGGGGGGACTCCTATTGGGAGGGATAGACTGAGGTGGTGGGCTCTCTAATGAGGAGGTGATTTGGGGGAAAGTCTGTGCCAAGGGGGTGGCCTGTACTGATGGTGGCCTGACTGATGGGGAACTGGGGATAGTCTGTACTGTGGGAGCTGGTATGGAGGGGAGTTCTGTACATATACTCCTGACTAGAGATGAGTGTTCAGATGCTCTTCTGAACCCACATGGCTGAGCCTGAGAAGCTAAGAAGCTGTTGCATGTAATGGGCCAATCATCATCAGTCGAGGCATTCTCTGTCCTTCAGCTGCACATATACACAACACTTGTATGCATGCTTCTGCGGGTGGAAATGCCTCTGCTGCAGATGATCGGCCCATTACAGGTGGCATCTACCTGCCAGGCTCGAACATGTGGGTTCGGAATAGCTCCTATTGTACCGCATCCTGCTCATTACTATGGAGGTGCCATCTGTGGTTGGGATGTACCATAGAGGGCCTCTGCATGGGAATGGATAGAGTTTTCTGTACATGCAGAAAGTGAAAAGTGTTGGAGCGGTTGTGACTGCTGCATTCCTGCCTCTTCCGGTTGGCTTCTTAGTTGAGATGTGGCAGGAGTGTGTACAGGTGAGTATCAGGCATAGGACAGGGGGAGGGAAGGATAAGTAGGTTTAGGAGATGACCCTATAGAATCCTATGATAAGTCCATGCTCTGGCGTGGCCAGAGTACCAGTGAGCCACCAGCTGGAAATAAAAATAGGTCAGAGATTGCAGGCGCTAGAGGTAAGTATGCATCTGGGGTGGGGGGTGTGCTAAAAAGGATAAGTACGCTTTGAAATGTTATCCCTTAACCCCTTGCTGCCCACGAAATGCATATATGCAGCAGAAAAGAGGGTAGCCTTAGCCACCCACATGCCGCACATATGTGTTCATGGAAGGCCAAGGCTTCTGTGCTGAGAGCACGCTTACCGCACACTCCCAGCACAGTAACCGAGCTGTCATCGACAGCTTCTAGACTCTACTCCAGTAATGATCAGGAGCTCTCAGGACGGGTACCCAATCATGTCACCACTGGGGCAGTTAATTACATGACCCACTTAAAGGGACACTGGGGCTGGAAGGGGTTAAAGGCCAAGTTCACAAAATTATTGTTCTGAGTGGGAACCGCTATTTGAAGCACAGGCTGTTTCCCTATTTATTGCAAGGGCAGCCCTACTAATGATTGGGTAGGTGAAGGAGGCGGGAAGGGGCAGGTCTACTGCTGACCACAGAATTGAAACTGTAACGGAGGCTGTGGATGGTTTGTTCTGGCATCTCTAGCTGCCTGTATTGTAGACACAATAGCTCCTGTGGAGAGCTGACGAGTGTATTCTGATATCAAAAAATGTTTTGAAATTGCAACATATCTCATTTGAAGTTTATTTTTTTTGTAATTCCAGAACAAGGCTGAACACTTCTTCAAAAGTGGACACACAAACAACTGGGCGGTTTTAGTAAGTATTTGCTTCCTTCTATTACACTGCATAAAGGTGTGTGCCTTAACCCACCAGCTGTTTAACCATTTGCCCTCCAGAGGATTTACCCCCCTTCCTGATCAGGCAATTTTTTGCGATACGGCGCTGAGTTACTTTAACTGACAATTGCACGGTCATGCAATGCTGCACCCAAATAAAATTTATGACCTTTTTTTCCCCACAAATGGAGCTTTTGGTGGTATTTGATCGTCTGTGCTTTTGTATTTTTTACGCTATAAACAAAAAAAGACTGACAATTTTGAAAAAACTATATTTTTGACTTTTTGCTATAAAACATATCCAGTAAAAAATATTTAAAAATTACATTTCGTCAAATTTAGGCCAAAATGTATTCTACATGTCTTTGCTAAAAAAAAAAATAAATCTCAGTACATGTTAATTAATTGGTTTACGTGAAAGTTAGAGTTTACAAATGGCGGTATATATACTGAAATTTTTATTTTTTTATACAAGTAATGGCTGTGATAAGCGACTTATAGCGGGACTGCGGTGGGCATTCTGACACTGGGGGAGGGAAATGACTGTCACTGACATCCCCAGTGACACTAATACAGTGATCAGTGCTAAATAAAAAAAAAAAAAGGAAGGGATTAACATCTGGAGCGATCAAAGGGTTAACTGTGTGCTGTGTGCGTTTTACTGTGTGCTGTGCTTTACTGTGTAAGCACACTGCTTTGTACAAAGCAGTATGCTGGAGCTGACAGGGGAGAGATCTTTACTGTTTACATACAGACTTCTCCCCCATTAGTGATACTTGGCGATCGGTGGGGAATTGCCGGCCGGGACCCAGTGATCAACAGCTGTAGCTGCCAACGGTGGCTCAGGTAGGACGCGTGCGCCCCCTACCCAGAAATAGAAAATCATGTATATATATACGTAATTTTGCACAGCCCTGCCGCCCTGTAGCAGTAGTTATGCTATAGGGCGGTTGGAAAGTGGTTAAAATAATAAACCAAGATGCTGGTTTAGGAAACCTTTGTGTCTAAAAATTCTGGTTGCTTACCTTCCATGCTGATCCCCTTCCTTCAGTACTCTCCCTGACCTGAAGCAAATATGCTGATCAGGAGTACTTCCTTTGGTAACCTGAACACTTCATCAGGTCATGACCTTTGTTAGTGAATCCAGATGTTCGGAATGACAGCCATCCAGATTGCAGTTTCTGGAAGAGGTAGCAGCACACCCTGTGTTTTGAATAGATGTAGCAATGTCCCGGTTGGGAATTGTCTAAATAGCTATGTGAATTTTCGATGGGAATATCATTTTAAATATACATTATTCACCCTATCCAGAGCGGTCAAGGGTCGTTTCAGAAATGATCAGCTTTTATATTTTAGCTGTTTAATAATTGGAAATATACTAAAAAGATTCCACAAAATATGGTCTCCGAGCTGTCATCCTCAGAACTATCTACTACTTTAGCTCTTGAATGGTCCCAGGGATAATATTATCGTTCTACAATGTATGCTATAGAGAAATATCTTAAAGTATAACTAAAGGCAACATTTTTTTTATTTTAGTTGTGGACAGAGTGCGGGGGAATTAAAACCCCTGTCAGTTTTTTATTGCTATATGTTCCTCCCGTTAGGGAGATTTACTCTCTATAGTTGTTCTTTTTACCATTATTATTGAAAGAGAAAGTAAAAGAAAATCCCAAATTTTGGGTTGTCCCCAGAAAAGTAATAGAGGGGAAATCTTCCGATGGGGACCTGGGGATCCCTAAGGAATTCCTCAATGTGCAGGGATTTCTTCTCACTTCCTGTTTGGCTATGGGACAGGAAGTGAAGGGAAATATTTGCAATAGGACACAGATGGTGAAAACAATCTGACAGCGGTTAAAACCCTCCTCTACTCTATCCAAAATGAAGAAATTAGTTTTGCCTATAGTTCTACTTTAATGGTTCGGCGTTTTGTATGTCTTTGGTATAATTAAAGCGGAGCTCCACCCAAAAGGGGAAGTTCCGCTTTAAGGACTTCTCCCCTGCACCCCTTTAAGGATTGGCACTTTTGGGGGGGCGGTGGGGAGTGGGTACCAAATTTGATAGGTACCTGCTCCCACTTCCGGTCCGATCGCCCAGGCGTCCGGAAGAGAAAGGTGTCCTCCCTGTAGTCTTTTGGGACACGTGACAGGTCCCAGAAGACTACAGGACCATTCATGAAGCGCAGCGCTACTTGTTCATGTGCAGTAGGTACCCGGCTGTGAAGCCACAAGCTGTTACAGCTGGGCACCCACACTGAAGATGCCTTTACCTGGAACACAGGACGGCCGGTGAAATGGGCTGCCGGGGACACACCGTGGGACTGAGGGACAGGTAAGTGGCTGTTTTTTAAAAGTCAGCAGCTACAGTTTTTGTAGCTGCTGACTTTTATTTTTTGACAGGGTGAGTGGAACTCCGCTTTAAGCCATCCTTCTCTTTTTGTTGGCTTGCTGGGATGTATTACTTATAAATCTGTTTGTAACTTTGCTTCATATGGTATGATATCACTATAGAATATTGTTCTCTCTAACTTTTTTAACTTTTTCTATTTTGTGCTTGTCTTGAAACAAGCTTTACCCTGTTATCTTGGCTCTCTCTGCGTACCTGTCAAAAAAAAAAAAAAAAAAAGCAAAATTCCCTCAAAAATTACTTGTTTTTTTTAACTAGTTAATGTCTGTTGATATAGTGACTCCTAGGTATTTAAAATGGGGGGGCCATAGAAGTAGGAATAGGTAGCGCTCAGGATCAGGCTTCAGAATGAAAAGAAAATGCATGCTGCTGAACTACCTTCTCACCATTATACAGCAGAAATGAAACCACGCAGACTTGTACAGTGAGTGATAGCATGAAAACTTCCTTAGAAGGTCAGTGGTTCCCTATTTAAAAATAAGCTATGGAATTTTTAAAATGCACTTACCCTCCGATCCCCGGTGTAAAATGACATGATTCCTATAAATATTGCCAGTTTGATATCCATATCAAGTTGATAAAAGGTAGCATAGCATTAGAGCTGTCTGTCTCTTTTTATTTCTGGATTCTGTGATTGGAGATTGATATTATTGTTGTTATTATACAGGATTTATATAGTGCCAACAGTTTGCTCAGCGTTTTACAATATAACGGGAGACAATACAGCAATAAATACAGTTCAATACAAGAGGGTTAGGAGGGCCTGATCCTGGGAGCTTACAATCTAAGAGGTCAGTTACTGTATTGGTATTGCTGAGGATACAAAGGTTTCCTAGGCATGTTTGCATATGTTTTAAATCTGTCCCTGCAGCCAGGCTTTTGCATTTATTATTACAACTGTGTAATGTAAGGTATGAAAACTACGACGTACTATTTTTTTTTTACAAGTATGTAAATTTATTGAAAAATGAAGGTGCCAGAAGTTTACAAATATTTTCAATCTGGAGAAAGCATCATACAGTGCGGATCGAAAGTTTGGGCACCCCAGTCAAAAATTTGTATTAATGTGCATAAAGAAGCTAGAAGCCAAGGAAAGATGGAAAAATCTCCAAAAGGCATCAAATTACAGATTAGACATTCTTATAATATGTCAACAAAAGTTAGATTTTATTTCCATCATTTACACTTTCAAAATAACAGAAAACAAAAAAATGGCATCTGCAAAAGTTTGGGCACCCTGCAGAGTTAATATCTTGTACTGCCCCCTTTGGCAAGTAGCACAGCTTGTAAACGCTTTTTGTAGCCAGCCAAGAGTCTTTCAATTCTTGTTTGAGGTATCTTTGCCCATTCTTCCTTACAAAAGTCTTCCAGTTCTTTGAGATTTCTGGGCTGTCTGTCACGCACTGCTCTTTTCATGTCTATCCATAGATTTTCAATTATGTTGAGGTCAGGAGATTGTGAAGGCCATGGCAAAACCTTCAGTTTACGCCTCTTGATGTAATCCCCCGTGGATTTTGAGGTGTGTTTAGGATCATTATCCATTTGTAGAAGCCATCCTCTCTTTAATCTTCAGCTTTTTCACAGATGCCATCAAGTTACCATCCAAAATTTGCTGAAATTTTATTGAATCCATTTTTCCTTTTACTCGTGAGATGTTCCCTGTGCCACTGGCTGCAACACAACCCCAAAGCATGATTGATCCAACACCATGCTTAACAGTTGGACAGAGGTTCTTTTCATTAAATTCTGTGCCCCTTCTTCTCCAAACGTACCTTTGCTCATTCCGGCCAAAAAGTTCAATTTTAACCTCATCGGTCCACAGAACTTGTTTCCAAAATGCATCAGGCTTGTCTATATGTTGATTTGCAAAGTTCAAACGATGATTTTTGTGGTGAGGACGTAGAAGAGGTTTTCTTCTGATGACTCTTTCATGAAGACCATATTTGTACAAGTATCTCTTTATAGTGGAATAGTGTACCACAACTCCAGTGTCTGCCAGATCTTTCTGGAGGCATCGTGCTTTAAAACGTGGGTTTTGAATTGTTTTTCTCACAATCCTGCGAGCTGTTCTGTCTGATATTTTTCTTGGTCTTCCAGATCTTGCTTTAACTTCCACTGTTCCTGATGACTGCCATTTCTTAATTACATTCCGAACAGAGGATATTGACATCTGAAAAAGCTTTGTGAGCGTCAACTATTTTCAGTTTCAGTTTTCTAGACAACTGCTTAGAAGAACCCATGGTGCTGATTGTTGGGGCAAGGTCAGATGAGTCTGGGCATTTAAAACCTTTGAGATTGACATCACCTGGTCTTCCCAGACGATGATTGAGAACAATCCATGGCACTGGCAGGTCTCAGCTTGGCAAAGGGGGCAGTGCATGCTATAAATTCTGCAGGGTGCCCAAACTTTTGCAGACGCCATTTTTTTGTTTTCTGTTATTTTGAAAGTGTAAATGATGGAAATAAAATCTAACTTTTGTTGACATATTATAAGAATGTCTAATCTGTAATTTGATGCCTTTTGGAGATTTTTCCATCTTTCCTTGGCTTCTTTATGCACATTAATACAAATTT